TCTCCACATTAATATGAAGCCCAAACAGTACTTATTCAAGAATGGGAAATAGATTGGAGCAAATCAATTTGAACATGCAAATAGAGGACATGTTAAATGGAGATGCGATGGAAAAGGTAGTAATACACGAGGTTTTTTATATCCATCAGTGAGATACAGATGAAATAAATGCAAGATCATACAACATAAAGCTTGCCTCATGCAGGATGGTCTCTTTAAAAGGGGGCTCACTGAAGTGACTGCAAAAGTGATGTGTTTCAGCTGGGTAGTACTACATAGAGCTTGCCTCATGCAGGATTATCTCATGAAAAGAGGCTTTTCACTGATAAATTGATACTTTATAATCTGGAGGATGCGAATCATCTTTTCTTGCACTGCGTCGTGGGAAGAGATCTCTAGAACATGTCTCATACTCTTTCTGGAATTCACCCTGTGATGCCATTCACCGCGAAGACTGCCTACATCAGCTCGTGTTTCTCGAGAGTAGAGAAACATATCCAGGAACTATGACGTACCATACTAGATGCATTTTTTGGGCCCTTGGAGGGGGAGAAATTTGATATGCTTTGAAAGAACCGTCACGTCAATACTGATTCGAAAGCTAGATGTTTGCTGAAACTTATTTTGCTGGAAAAAACTCAACATTGTGAATGGTGGGCATCAACTTCTTGACTTTGTTGGTTCTTTAAGTTTGTGATGGGAGTCACCCAAGCAGTTGTACAATTCTGCATCATCTGGATGTGGTTAGCAGCAAAATTTACATTAGTTTACCCCAAAACTCTTTAGCAATAAGACCGATATCTAGCAAAAAGGTCTCGTGCCTATACAATAAGTTCTGGATGCATTTAACTTTTGCAACAGCTATGAACTCCATCTTTCCTTCAAAAGCATCTTCTATTTCTTTCTAGCCATATTATCCATGCAATGCACAAGTGAACTGTCCTCCAAATGCTTTAGAAGAAAAGTTCTATATAGGCGGTATATATTAGTATAGAATATGTTTTAGATGTTAATACTTTTACTGTAGGTCCAGTGTTTTGAATAGCGTGAGACGACAAATAACGATGAGGGCCTAATTCACTGAAGCGAGAAGCGAAGCGCTCGCCTTTTTGATGTGAAGCGACAATTTATATAAAAAAATAAAATATTAAATTTGCATATATATATATATATATATTAATAAATATATCAATTAAAAACTCAGGTTTGAAGAAGCTCTCTGCCTTTGCCCATTAAGGAATTGAAAAACAGAGCAAAAAAAAGAACGAAGAGAAGAAGAAACAGGAAGGAAGGAAGAAAGAATGAAACAAAGAAAAAGCTCTCTGCTGCTCGATCAAAAACAACAGAGCAAAAAAGAAAAAGAAGAAGAGAAGAAGAAGAAAAAGGAAGAAAGAAAGAGAGGAGAAAGAAGAAAGAATAAGAAAGAACGAAAAAAGGCAGAAACTCGAAGAAAAGAACTCAATGTGACTGGGTTGACTTGAAGGGGAAAGAAGAAGAAATCGCTGAAGCCCTAAATTTTTTCTTTTAATCACTGGTCTGCTGCCTTTTTTCTTTTCTTTTTTTTTTCAAAAAGCGACGCTACAGGGCGCCTCTCGCTACACAGGCAGAGGCGCTCGCCTTTTTGAAATCGCCACGCAACAGAGGCAAATAGAGCTGGAGGCTCACATCGCATCGCCTCACGCTATTAGCTGAGGCGAACGCTATTTACAATACTGTGTAGATCTTATGCTTTTAAGAAGTGGTTTAACCTTTAGGGATTTATACATTTATTACAAAACTTACTACAATACTTTTTATTTGTATTTGCATAATATTGGCATGAGATATCTTATTAAAAAAATATTGACATGATATTTTAAATGCAATAATGTGGTCAACAGAGATTGGTATAGCAGACTCCAACTTGTTTGGGATTGAGGCATAGTTTTAGACAAGAAAACCTTACCTTTTCCTTTTACGGATATTAATCCTGACATTCATTAGCCACTAAAACAACATCAACAATCTTTTTACCTCTAATAAAGGCATTTTGAGTCCCTCATACTAAGTTATTCATCATCACTTTTGGTTTTTCCGTGCACACCTCTACGATAATCTCATAAATCTTGTAAGAGACTTATTGGCCCGTAATCTTTAATATATACAGCTCTATTCCATAAGTGGGGTATGCGGAGGGTGAGATGTACGCAGCCTTACCTCTATCCTGGAAGGCAGAGAGGCTGTTTCCGAAAAACCCTCGACTAAAGAATCTTTGTTTAAGGGCAATAAATAATAAAAGTAGCATTATACCTTTTCTCAAATGTTCCTTCCAAATAAAAGAACTAGAAGGTCTTCCTTATTCCATCTTTTATAATATGGCAACACATTTGGAAAAAAAGCCAAATTACACGCATCCAGGTTAAATGCCTTATCACCTTCAACTATCTTCATCATCTCTATTTCACTCCCTTAATCATTATTCCGATCCACAATCACGAATTCACCCTCCCTTACCTCATTAATTTCTAACTTCCTCTTGATCCATAATAGAAGGATGCCCTTGCACTCCCAATACAGGAAAACACATCATATTTAACCCACTACTCCCATACAATTCTAACTATTACATCGGTCATAGCCTCCATATTTGTTTCTTGAAATCATGGTAAGTTGGTCCCCGGTTCTTGAACTCCCACCTTGAAGACGACTCTTTTGTTTGGGTCTATTAGAAGATTCCCATATCGGATGGGGAGGGATGGTAGGTTTCTTTATATGGCCTTGGGAAATTCTCATCTCATGAGCTAGCTTTTTGGGGTTGAGTTAGGTCTAATGTCCAATTTTTTTCATCGTATGAGAGCCAGACCTATCCTGATTCTTGGTTTTTGATGTTGAACCTCCATCTTATGTTGTCCCCACTCCAAATGTCCTGGAAGAGTCCAGCATCGGCTGTGGAGGGATGGGTAGGTCTCGTTATATGATCTTGGGTAATCCTTGTTCAGGAGCTAGCTTTTGAATTTGAGTTACACCCAAAGTCCATTTATTTAGGATCATTCATTTCCCTCGTATTCCAAGTTATTACCTTAACATCGATGGACAATATCTTTGCCCTTTCCTCTCAACCTCCCTCGCCTCCTTCAATTCACCCTTTTTATTTCCTCCTGAACTTCCTCTTGTAAACCACCATACACCACCATCCTTTTTGGGCTTTCCCCTTCCTCCTTCCCATCTTTTCCCTTTCATCCACACTCTTGGTCCGCCTTGCTCCTTTTGCCTCTAATTCAATGTCAAGTGACAATTCTATGACCCTATCTTCCTTCCTCCTTAAAGGACACACCCAAGAACTCCCCAAAATATAAAATACTTTTTCCTCACCTATTTGGTAAGTCACCTCTCTCCATCAATGATTGCTAACGGTTAGCCATCTTTCTCTATTTGTGGATTTTCACACATTCTGGAGCAACCAGCACTGCCAGAATCAGCTATTTCTGGGAACTACAGTCAACGTAGGTCCTTCAGCATGTTCTCTGGAAATATTGGTGCTGTTACTTCCCCCTTTGAACCCCTTGAATATTTCCAGCATTTCCTGGACCTTCTTGAACAGGCACAACACTCCCAGATTCGCAACATTCTGCCGTCGGCGTGGTTGGCGAAGCGTACCTGGAACTTGGGCAGCCTTATTAGACCTCCTTGGAGACACATATTCTCATAATGGAAGGGTGATGGTCCAATCTTCTTCCACCATCTTCTAGCATATTAGGGAATGATCCAAAACAGGCTTCACAACGCTTGTTGAATGGAATTTGGAAACTTCTTTTGCCATTCAGTACTCTAATATCGCGGTTATCTACCTTATTCAAAAAAAAAAAAAAATCGCGGTTATCTACTCTTATGCACTCTGTCAGTTTAATCTGTTTTCCCATTGAATTATGTTATTATTGTGGTGCTGTCCATTTTATGCTAGAAAATCAAATTCCAGTAACTAGCCGTGGAAGTCCATTTCATCAGAGTTAATTCTTCTAGGTTGGCCTTGAGCATTCTGTTCTACTGTTTGTCCTCATTTATGGAATGGTGATGCCTAATCTTCTGAATATCTGTTGGGATATGCTCTGTTGATTTTTATGCACTTCATACAAGCTAATGTGCATTTGAGACTGATTATATGAATTAATGAGGTTTATATTGTGATGTGGAAGGAGTCTGATACACTTTCTGGGAGCATTATTGCTAGATCTAATTCTGTGGTTTGTCTGATTGCATGAAACTTTGAATAATATTTATTCAGATAGGCTAAAGTTAATAGTGAATTTTTGAATAATATTATTTGAGGGGAGCAGAAATATGGTGCTTTTAAGAGGGAAAAACAATTACTATTGAAAAGATTTATGTCTTGTCTGCGCACATGGGCACTTTATAGTATGTGCTGCATTCCTTGTCAGAACTATTGCAGACTGAGTTTGAAGCCCTTTTTGAAATTATGCAGGAGCAAATAAGCAATTTTTTTGGTTGAAAATATTGTGTTTCATTATCCAATTTTTTTTTTTTTTTTTTTTTTTTTTTTTTTTTTTTTGGTTAACGCTATGCGTGCTACAATGAAAAATATTTCTCATGATTGGAGGATGACTGTGTCAAATGTTAACACATTTTTTAGAAGTAAAAATCACTTATTTGTATCATATGTTTTCACAAGTCTCTCCCTTTTTGTTCTGTACACCCTTGCTCCTATCTTGCTCTCAATCCTTCTTTGATTACCTTTTGTCTGTGGACTAATCATGTTGTTAGGCACACTTGGTTCTCTATCATGTTAGCTACTCCTTGCTAGTGCCTTTTTTCTGATTTTGCTTGTTTGGTCTTCAGAAAAGTAGTAGTACTGTAGTGTGTGTATGTTCGTCATATATACTTCCTCTGAATCTATGGTAGTTTCAGCCTCCTAAATCTTCCTAGTTTCAGAGAGTAGATCCTGAAAATTGTAATTGTTCATCTCTTTGCAACCATTTGATGCTCAACTTAACCTTTGTTATTGTTTAATTTCTCATATTCCTTTCATCTTGTTATAGGTTCTCTGCGGCAATGGAAGAGAGAAGCTGTTACACTTAGCAGAAGGCCTGCTGAAGAAGCATATAGCTTCCCATAGTTTACATGAACCGGAAGGTTTTTTTTGTTTATTCTCCTGTAACTCATGAGTAATCAGGCCTAACGCTCTCTTATCCTTTGTCCGTATTCTATCTACTGAAACATTTTATGCTTTTTTTGCAGCTCTTATTGTATACATTTCCTTATTAGAGCAGCAATCTAAATATGGAGATGCCTTAGAACTTCTTACTGGAAAATTTGGGTCTCTTATAATGACTGAAGTTGATAGACTACGTTTGCAGGTACTGCCTGCATTTTTCAGCTTGTACAGTTGTGGTTGTTGATTAAGTTGACTAGTACCCATCCAAATAATAATCGATCAATTTGAAAGAGAAAGGAAGAGTTCCTTTACATTTAGGGGCAATTGTTCGCCCCTAGGGATTTGGTCGAATCGTAAGAGCGCAACAAGTAATGTGTGGGTTAGGCATGTTGCCGGTTCAAATCTTGCTGTTGGCAAGTGCTTGGTATTAAAGTGCAGAAGGGTAGAGGGCAGGCCTGTTATCCACCAGGTTTCAAACTGTGCGCCTTTAGCCCTCGAAATTTCTCGGTTATGACCACGACCTCGCGTGGATTGGGTGTAACCTCGGGTCCAAGAGTGCGCATTTCTCTCGCTAATTGTACTTTTTTCTATCCCAAAAGGAATGTTGTGTCACGACCCAAATTTCCCAACCAAGGGGTCGTGATGGCGCGTAACAACATGATATCATAAAAAGGATAAAGCTCAGGAATGTATAACACAACTAAAGCCAACAACCGTCTTAACACCTTCCAGAACCGGAATCACTGTGTATATGAGCTTCTACAAAATTACTAAATACAATGTATGAAATAATAAATACACTGTTTGATTCGAATAAACAGTAGAAAGTCTAAAAGAGGGGTGACATCAAAGCCTGCGGACGAGTGTGCAGCACTACCTCGAGTCTCCACAACCAAGCAAGCTAGTCCGGCCTCTGAGTAACGCTAGGTCCGATGCCAAAATCTGCACAAGAAGTGCAAAAGTGTAGTATGGGTACGATCGACCCAATGTACTTCGTAAGTGTCGAGCCTAAGTAGTGACATGGCTAAGACAAGATACCAACATATAAACCTGTGTAGTTAAGTAACGAAAAAATAACGAGAGATATAACAATTAAGAGAACAAGAAAAGTAGAAGTAAGATAGCAAATAGGTAGCAAGTGAGATAACAAGTGTACTAGCAAGAATTAATAATAATGCGAGAAATACTAAAAGGAGCAACTACGGAATATAATGACTGAAATTTCAAAATAACACCAAACAAGCCTTTCACAACAACTCAAGTTCAAGAAATCAACGAGGCAACCATGAAACAACATAGCCAAAACCTCTATTCGCATAGTAAAAGCAAGGAAAAAGAAGGTAACATATCAATTAGCACGGAAGCACCCGTTGTGCATATTCACTCTTCCTCACAAGCACGGAAGCACCCATCGTGCAATACCTCTTACCTCACAGCATGGAAGCGGCTGCCGTGCAATATCTCTCAACCTCACAGCACGGAAGCACCCGTCGTGTAATATCTCTCAACCTCACAGCACAGAAACACCTGTCGTGCATAACACTCATCCTCACCAAGAACACGTAAAATCAGTATCAAACAAGGTGAGGAGCAACAACAACATCAACAAGAGTGATTAAATATAACACACCACAAGAGAGATAACCATCATTTTTGCACCAATAGCTAAACCAACATATCAAGAATTTCCAATGCGCAACATCTCAACAATCCTAACGTAGCTATCATCATGAACAACATCAAGGATTTTACGATCTATTTAAAGCAAGTAAGACATGATACATAAAACAACATAACATAATCATGTTAGTTCTACCCGCTGCTTAACCCATAGCAATCGCATATACACTCTTCGCCTTGCATATACTGCTCCCAACATATATAGCACATAGAGAATAGACCCAATGACATCCTAATTCCCTCAGATCAAGGTTAACCAAGACACTTACCTCTTTTCGGCACAAATCAACCCTTCAATACTGTCTTTCCTTTAGCACAAGCTTCCAAACCACTCGAATCTAGCCAATTAATACTCAAATAAGTCACAACAAGCTTTAGAAACTACCCTAGTATAAAATATGTTTGACCTTTATCACATTTGGAAAAGTCAACCTGGGTCCACATCATCGAAATCTGAAATTAAGACCAATTCCTGTTTTTTAACCATTCTCCCCCGAGTCCAAATATGTTGTTTGCATCAAGATTGGACCTCAAATCGAGGTCCAAATCCTCAAATTAGCTCTCATAAGTTTTTCTCCAAAACCCCAATTTCTACGCTTTAAAATACTAGATTTAGGAATAAAAATCTATGGGAATTCATGATAATAAATCAAAACTAGGTAAAAGTTACTAACTGTAGAAGTAGGGATGAAAATCCTTTAAAAAAATCTCCTCAATATGTGAACTAGGTCTCAAAAATGGTGAAAGTAGCTAAATCCCGATTTTTCAGCCCTTTATATAACTAGGCGTCAGGTGCTCTTCGCTTTCGCAAAGCACCTGTCCCATTCGCGAAGGTCAACGACCAATTGGTCATCGCGTCCGCGAAGGCCTCCTCTCGTTCGCGAAGGTTATCGCCGCCAAGACTCTGTGTTCGCGATGTTGTGGTCGCGTTCTCGATGAAGAAACTCCTACCAGCTCTTAGGTCGCGTTCGCGATGAAGAAACTCCTACCAGCCCCCAAGAGCTTAGGCCTACGCGTTCGCGTTTGGGCAACCGTGTTCGCGAAGGCCTACTCCCAATGCCCTTTAGAACGCGAGACAAGCTCCGCGTTCGCGATGCACACTACACCAACAGCATATCAGTTGCTGCAAATTGTGCAGAAATGGTCGGAAACCACCCCGAAATTCACTCGAGCCCCCCGAGCCTTACTCCAAACATTCACACATTTATATAAACTTCATACAAACTCGCTCGTAAGATCAAAACACCACAATAACATAAAAAATCAAGAATCAACCATCAAAACTCAAAAATTTCGAATTTCAAATTTTCAACTTCTCATAATAAGCGCCGAAATGGCCTCGAGTCACCCGGGACCCCAACCAATCATGCATACCCGTCTAAAATCATCATACAAACCTTCCAAACCTTCCAGAAATCAAAACGGATTATACACGCAAGTCATAAGTCATCAATTCAAAGTCTTAAAACATGAAACGAAAAGCTAGAACTCAAAACGACCTATCAGGTCGTTACATGTTGGTTTCAGAGTACTAGGTCAAAGTATCTATAATTAGGGTTTGTTTCGTATAACAATCCCTTGATTTAAGAATAAAATTTACATATTCAAGAACTACTCTCTCCATCTCAATTTATCTGAACCTATTTCCTTTTAGCCCGTGCCAAAAAGAATGACCCCTTTTCATATTTGAAAACAATTTACCTTTATGCAATGATTTAGAGTCGCACAAAATATATGTGCCTCATATTACACCACAAGTTCAAAAGTCTTCTCTTTTTTCTTAAACTTCGTGCCCAATCAGCTAGGTTCACATAAATTGAAACGGAGGGAGTATAAAAAAGTACTATTAACCTAAAGTTGTAAAAATTAAACATACTTTGGAAGAAGTTTGATAAAATTTTTGTTGACTTTTTTTGTATATATAAGACAGGGGGAGTTGCATTTTCGGCTAATACAAAACACCCAACTGCATAATTAGCGTTCGCGATTCTACTTGGATCACTGATGGTTGATTGTTAAACAAGGAAGAATTTGTGCAAGGTGTTTGTAAATAGCATCTTCAATTATCAAAAGAGAAAAATTGTATGAATAGCATTTTTCATAGATATATTACTCCTTAATGTAGATAACTCTCACTTTAAGTGTCAGACTCTAAGTGACAGTTGTCATGAAAGCATAGAAATTTGTTTTCCAGAAGTTGTGGAGCACATAATTCAACCTTGCAAACCTTGTCTTTTTTTTTTGTTAGTATGATCTTTTCAGTTCTGCAAAATGTTGAAAGCATACTATGTTAGTCATGTTTGGAGCCTCTTCTTTTCTGTTCTTGCGTTAATAGGACACTAATAATATTTTTTTTTAGTGTGGGGCTTTTAGTACGTTTTCAGCAATGATCTGGGACAGCAGCAGCACTATGCACTTGGTTGTTTGTTATTATGGTAGAAAAACTTTACTTCCCCCCCTCCCACACCGTGCCGTCCAAAGAAAAAAGAAGAAAAGAATAAAGCTTTTCTGTAAATTGGATATATATATATATATATATATATATTTCATGGCATATTAGTCCAAGGATGCTCTCCTTTATTTTCTGGGGAACATTGTTTTTCGTTCCTTAAATGTGCATTCTTTGACTTCAAGTTGACAGGGGAGGCTTCTTGCCAGAGGAGGTGATTGTGCTGCTGCAACTAGCATATTCCAGAAGGTTTTAGAACTCTGGTATGTAATTTGAGAATGCTGATGGATTCATGTTCATTTTTTGTTTGTGTGTTTACTTGTAGTAATTTGAATATTGAAGATGCACTCTTAGCTCTTCAACATTGAGATGCATCTCAAAATATGTTGCTTTTAGAATAATATGTTACCATATCAAGAAAAAAAACATCGATGCTTTTAGAATGATTTATGGCATTGTTTCCAGATATTCTGGGTGATATCAAAGAAGATAATTTGTCTCGGTGAATATTTTGTTTGTTAAAGAAGATAATTTGAATAAGATAGCTTCTAGCAAAACCAGGGATGAATCTAGGCACTATGGCTGGGAGGGGCTACAAATAGTTCTGGGTACTGAAGTATTTTTAAAAATGCAACAAAATGAATTCCTACTTTTTTTGATCAGTACAAAGGATAAAGAAAAAAAGGAGGCTAGAGATATATCAACGCAAGTTTAAATAACACCTGTTTGGATATCCAAAGGGTTGGTTCAATGGAGCCGACTTGCTCCAGCCTTTAGTGGACATGATTACCTTGATTTGTGTTTGCCGCTGTAGCAAGCTCTCAGTGAATTCTTCAAAGGCAACCTGGAATGGACACCAACGTCGTGGGAAAAAAATTATGTAACACTGTTTGCAATGCCATGTTCTAGTCAACAGCCAAACTGCAAACCTTTAAGACGATCGTAACACACACACACACACATATTTAAATCTGACAATTAAAACGTCCTCCTCACTGACATATTATTTGTCTCTCAGTTGAGTTTCGAGGAAATTTTGGATTTAACTTGCATTGAATAAGAACATTCAAATTCTGCTTGACTTATTATCTTTATTCTTTAAGAAATGGCATTTGTTGCTCCATTCTTAGTTTTTCTTTTAAGAAATATGTCTGACTTAAGACCAAATTATGCAAATGTAGATCATTAAAGATACTAAGTGAAACAAGAACAACTGAAGTGTTTAAATTATAAGTTCAAAAGTTTGTTATTAAATAGATTACTCAAGTTTAGTAACTATTTTAGTTTCATTTTTTAGAAGTTTAGTTCACAGTTCACTTATCAGCTGGTGGATGATAAAATTTTCTAGTTATTTCTTGTCTCCTTATATTCCTTTATATATTATGTTGTCTAATTTCTTTTCTTAACATATTATAAAGCAGCCCCTGTTATGAATGATAAAGTTGCTACCCCTTACATTTATTTGTAAGGAGGAATGTTTACAATTATTTAAATATACTAGGGTACTTATAAAGTTTATAAAGCTTTGAGGGCAGCACATCTCCATCTTACACATAAGATATCTTCACCAATTTCAAGAACTGGGTATACTCAAGTACACAAATGAGAAGTAATTAGAATTTTCTTCGCCAATAGTTCCTCCATGACCGAATTTCTGCTTAATTGATGTGATGTTGATTCATTTTTAATATGATTTTGATTCATTTAGCTGGAGGAGGATGTATTGTCTTTCTTCTGTTCTTCTTTCTCTCTTGCTGTCTAAAAAGATGGTTAATCATGAAAATTCAAGTCTACGCACACAGCACCAAAAGTATTGTTAATCATGAATCTCAGAGACAAAATGAGGACTTCTATCTGCAGTGCGAACTCATCTATGTCTCGGTTTCGACGTGTGCTAGCATTTGTTTCTTGGATTCTCCATTAAAAAAAGGTCTTTCTTTTTATCCGAACACATCAAGTTAGTACCAAATAATCCTTATAAAAAAAGCTAGTACCAAATAATGTTTACCATTTTATTTTCTATTTGTTCACAAAACGGCAAAGCCTGGTTTTATGCAGGTCTTTTCCCGTATAATCCTGGCAGACTTTTTCAGTGTTAGTGCAAAAGCACTATGCATTAAGAATTAGATTCTCACTAGCATTCTTTGGCTTATTTTGTTGTTACACATGGTCTATGTTAAGTCTCTTTAAGAACCAAGGTCAGTCTGAAAGTTTTGACCTTGCATGAAATCTTACTTTCAAAATGATGGAGGTGGTAACCAAATGATATTAATTTCTCTTATGCTCATGTAGGAAGTAATTTTGGCCTTGTTTTCCACTGTTCATCATAAAAGTATGTGTAACACTAAATTCTTTGGCAGCCCTGATGACTGGGAGTGTTTCCTCCATTATCTTGGCTGTTTACTGGAGGATGCTGGTAGCTTGTGCGTGGGAACAAAGAATGATTCTACTTATCCTCTAAAGTCGATGGACTCCCAAGTTTCTCATTTGACAGATGAAGCAGTAATTGCTGATATCCCTAGTAATTTATGAATTATTACTCCAACTTCTAGGACAAAAATCTATAATGTCTGACTCATGCAAGTTGTTGAATGTAGTTTGGTTCTCGGCTATCAAATGCGTCATCTCTTGTACAAAAGTTGTTAACAGAGGCAAGTGATGATACTGTAAGATGTCCATACTTGGCAAATATTGAGATTGAAAGAAGAAAACTTTTACATGGAAAGGGTGATGCAAATAAGTTGACGGAGGCTTTGATAGAATATTTTTTCAGGTAGATTCTAATATTCTTTCATCAATTTTTTGAGTTAATTTGAATTTTAAAATCACGATAGAGTGATGTAAGACTTCTGAGATTTTTCTTGAAGACTGTAATGAGCAACAACATCATTACCTTAGGATGTTTTATAAGTAATATTAGAATTGAATATACCATGGATGTCTGCTGAGAATAGTCTAAGTTGTCAGTTGTGAATTAGAGTCTCTAAGTTGGAACTGATCAACATACCTGCTCTGCAACTGAAGTTCTTGTTGAAAGATATTTAACTTTTGCACGGATGGATAACTTTGTTGGAAACCTTTTTCGGTCATGCTCATCCCATTTTGCTGATTTGTCCAAATCAGGGATGTATTCTACTCTTTTTTGGGATGTCTCGTAGTTATACTTGATTATAACCTCCATATTATCCTTGAGTTTTCCTTCCTTGATTGCAGGTTTGGACATTTGGCTTGTTTTGCTTCCGATGTTGAAACTTTTTTACACATTTTGGATCTTGATAAGAAGACACAGCTTCTGGAGAAGTTGATGGAATGCTGTGAACGTATTCCAACAAATCCCAGAAAGACTCTTGGGCAGCATATTACCGTCTTCAAAATTCAAAATATTGTTGGAAGCATGTTCACTCTTCCATTAAATGGTACATCTAGAACACATTATTTTTCATATATGAGCCTGTTCTTTTNCATAACTTGAAGCACATATCAGTATGTGCATACGGAGAAACAGTTATACACTGATATCCCAGTGCATTTCTCTGTTGAATCAACTGAAGGAACGCACTTATGTATAGCCTTTTTTTTTTTTTTTCCTTTAGTTTGGGTGTGGATATGATTTGAAGTAGATGCATGTTGAATTAATGTTTTATCCAAGACTTGAATTTTAACTTAGGGGTCATAGTGAAAGGGAATTGAAACAATGAAATATGTTAATGTCCATACATCTTGGATTGCTTGCGGACTGTAAGCATATGTTTTTATTCTGGGCAGGTTGCAATAATAGAATGGTACAATAGATATGAGGGAGGAATTTTATAGTCGAGGGATCAATAATGGGTTGGCTTTTTGTAGTGGCAGGGACTATGTTTTTGGTGATGGTAGGGGTTTAAGTTAAGGTGAAATGGATATTTATGTATTGGGGCATTAGGATGGTGAGGGTTATTGGTGAAGGTCGAACTAGAGTGCACTTGTGCTCTGAAAATCTCCACCTCATTGTTGGTGGTTCATTT